CTGTGGCGGAATGGTACGACACCCATCAAATCAAACCGTTGATAAACAGACTTATTTAAGATTCAAATCCCTTACAGAATCAGAATCTTGAAAAAAAAACAAAAAATCAAAATCCTTTATATTCTATTTGACGATTTATATATCGTCAAATATATATATCGTCAAATAGAACTATATAAAAAAAAAAAGAATCCTTTAAAAAAAGGCGGGGGGGAAAAATCAGAATCCTTCATATAAAAAGAAAGAATCAGAATCCTTTAAGAAGAAAAAAAGAATCAGAATCCTTTAAAAACGGAAACAAAACAGAACGATGAAGCCCTGATGGATGACACATGGACACATGATGATCCCACTTAGAGAGAGACAGCGATGGCGGTAGCACCCTTTTTAAGTTTTTAGGTTGTCTTCTTCCTTTACCTTGAGGTGATGGTTCCTGAATGCAGCGATCGAGCTCCACATGAAGTTCTTCGATCTGTTGCTCTATCCCCTCCACCTTCTTACGGGCCTCGATCACTAGACCTCTGACAAAACTCCTAAGCTCGCCGCCATTAATCAAGCTCCTAGCGACCATGTCTATCATCTCCCCTCGGTCCATGTCATTCATCACACCCCGATGGGCCCGATCCCGACCCACCACACACCTATCTAGCTCTCACACCTATTATCTCTTCTTGCGAAACGACTATTAGACTATTAGTAGTAATGGCTCAGTAACTAGTATTAGTATCTATCTTACTGTTACATTACACTACTGCTATAACTTAGTCTACATTTGATTTGTAATGGTTCTCAGCAATTCAATCTGTACCATCAATTCATTCAATCCAATCATCAGGCCTCAGCGCGCTCTTTCGACCCATCCACGTGGCAGTCTCAGCGTCAATGCAATCAATCATCGGAAGAGCTCCATAAGTACGCTCTTCCCGCCTCCGTCTCACGCTCGGTTCAGGCTCGGCATCCCGGCCGAACCCATCCCCCTTGGCACCTTCTTCCCCCTGTTCAACTTCAGCGGCGAGAACTCAGACCAGCACTCATCGGACACGCTTGTGTTTGCCCGCCTCCAAGCCTCCCAGCCTCCGCATCGGGCTCGGTTTAGGGGTGGGTGGCAGTCGGTCCCACCGCTAGGTTAGCTATACCAACTCTGAGGGGTTTAGTGTGCACCCAGGATATCCTTCAGGCAGGCAACTCTTGAGGGCTTAGGGCCTACTCACACTACCGGTAGGACTATTACGACTCAGGGCATACTCACACGGCGACCCCAAAAGGGGGCCTATTTGAGGTTTTGGGCATGGTCCACTTCACACGCCCGTCTGGAGAAATGGGGGTTTGGTACTTGGCTGGTCACACGGCACCATCCACAAATGCGAAAGAATTTTTGCAAATTTTTGAAGAAAATGCAAAAAAAAAAAGGGCATTTGCGGTCACCTCCAGAGGTGACCGCAAAATCCCTTGCGGCGCGGCTTCCCAGGCCGCTGACAAATGGGGACAGGAATGGTACATTTGCGAATTTGGTAGATCCGTGTGACCGGCCTTTTCCCCCTTTTTTTGGTATTTTTGGATTCTAGGTCCCCGTGTGAGTATGCCCTGACCATAATTTAGGTCAAATACCTCCGTCGATCGTCACAATTCACGCCAGGTGCATCCAGGGAAGTCTTCGTGCGACTATGCTCTCACAGGGGAGTGTGAGTGTGAGTGTAATTATGCTCTACTCACACCACTAGCACCTTCTGAACTTAGCTCTGGGCGTAATTACGCTCAGAGGCATTCAGGTCTGAACGTTATTGTAGTCTACATCCAGGAAGATGTGAGTACGCTCTTACTCGAGGAAACACTTCCTGAACTTAGCTTAGCTCTGGACTTAATTACGGTCAGATGCATTCAGGTCCGGACGTAATTAAGGTCAGATGCATTCAGGTCCGGACGTAAATGCCGTCGAGAGACCTTGAGGAAAGTGCTTTGCGCTTATGCCCTCATGAACATGGCCGTTGCATTTGCGTCCTCCTCGTCTGCAAGAGAACTCTCATTGGGCCATCTGGGAACGATCGACACTGACCCGACACCTGGGCCAACTGGTAAAGATCGAATCTGATCCGCCACCTGGACCAAATGGTAAAGATCGAATCTGATCCGGCACCTGGACCAAGTGGTAAAGATCGAATCTGATCCGGCACGTTGACCAAGTGGTAAGGATCGAATCTGATCCGGCACCTGGACCAAGTGGGAACGCTTGACAGTGATCCGGCACTACCAACGGCCTAGCTCAGTTGGTACACCCCTCAGCTGTTGTTGAAATACAGACAGTGATCAGGCACCTGATTCTGGTGGAACGTGGAGTGGAAAGGGGAAAGGGGTACAGCCCGCCATAGTTCGTGCTCTTTTTTTTTCTTTTTTCTTTTTTAACTTTGCCATACAGACAGTGATCAAGGCAAAACAAGCAGGCTGGAGCTGGAGGTGGGGGGACGCGGCAGTCGGCGCAAAATTAGCGCTCCAAGTTAGCGTTACCGGCGGCAACGCCGATTCGGTCGGCCCAGGGCTCCTCAACGCGCAGGACCCCGGGGTGATATGGCGAAGGTCCTACTCGGCAACTCCGAGAAACTGTCCTGGCGGCAGGGGACATCTAGCCTTCGACTGACCCAAGTAAGTGAAGGGCGATGGTGAATGGATGTGAAATTCCGTGAACGGTGTGAAAACGGTGAAGGGGTGTGCGCCGCTCTTGGCGCCCACCACTGGTGCGAAGGTGTTACGATATGTTGGAGTAAGCAAATCGAGGATAGTAGTAAGGAATTAGAGCAGGAAAGGGGACTTCAAGCTGGAAGACCCCCGCCCAGGGAACAATCTCGGAAGATGCAAGGATCAAACTACTGATGAGCAAGTGCTTCGAAGATGGCGTTTATCCAGAAAAACTCAACCACGGGGAATTCGTGGTAGAGAATGCGGAAAGAGTATTCAGAGTGGATCGTACCTTGGGGGAGATGACAACCAGATGGCTAAAAGAGAGGGTGGTAACGATAATTTTCCAAGGAGCAGCTCGTGATCTACCGCTGAAGGTCAGAGAAAACTTGGTGAGAGCATACGAAAACGGTTAGGTACGAAGCCACACCTTCAGTCAGGAACAAAGAAGAGGAAGACTTCATTGAGAGGGGCCAAACGTGATGTCCTATATTGCGATGTCACGCGAAGTAGCCCAGTGGATGATAGCCAAAGCAGAAGATAAGGTGGTGATAAGAAGGGTGGAATACCGGATGCTGTTCAAACCATGGATGACTAAGAGGGAGCTAGAGGAGAGAATGAGGTTAGAAGATGAAACGAGATTTTGGGTGATGGCCGAGAGTACCGGTTAGAGCGATGTTTCATCTAGAAGACATGATAGGGAAGGGATTGGGGACACTAATCAAGGCACATCCGGCAGAGCCTGATAAAACCAGACCGAAACTCATGAATATGAAATTCGATTTGGTCAGGGAAGCGAAGTCAAAATTTGAGCCGGAAATTCTGATGAAGCTTGATGACGGAAAATAATTAAAATCAAGTTGGTATGTAAACATACCCCGTGGTGTGAGCACTGTAGATGGTGGTTCCACACTGCCACGAATGGATGTCCAAAGCTCAACGATGAAGCGATGCAGGATCAGGAGGGATCAGGACAATCGGAACCAAGGGAGAGAAGCAACCGAAGAGAAGAAGTATTTAACGAAA